TATAAATATAAATATAAATATAAATATAAATATAAATATAAATATAAATATAAATATAAACATAAACACATAAATAAACATAAATACAAAAACAGAAAAAACCACAAAAATAAAAACAAACAAAAAACAAAAAATAAAAATAAAAAAAACAAAAAAAAAGAGAGAGACTGACGAGAGCATCAACAGCAGTTTTCCCAACAAAAGCAGCAACGAAGCAAAGGCCCATGAGAAGGAGACAGTAGCTGCGTGGTGCTGCTGCAGAAAGGAGACACCTTGCTGCTGCGCTGCTGCAGCAGCAGAGCACCAGCACTGTATTCACAGCTGTACATACACCCGGAGATACCCCACGCATCAGCAGCAAAGGGCCCATCACCAAAGAACTACCAATGCCCACCGTTCCTGCTGCAGCGCAACAGCAGCAGCAGCAGCAGCAGCAGCAGCAGCAGCAGCAGACGGAGAAGAAGCAGAAGAAGCAGCAGCAGAAGGAGCAGCAGCAGCAGCAAACAGCAGCAGCACATAGCAGCAGCAGCAGCAGCAGCAGCAGCAGCAGAAACAAACAAGTATATTTTTGTTGTATCTTTATAATACAAATTGCAGCAGCAGCAACAACACACAGCAGCAACAACAAAAAAACAGCAGCAGCAGCAGCAACAAGCAGCAGCAACAGCAACAAGCAGCAGCAGCAGCAGCAGCAGCAACAAACAAAAACAGAAGCAAACAGCAGCAGCAGCACTCTCATTATCGCGGTCTATTGAACAAACACAACAGCAGCAGCGCCACACCCTAAACCCTAAACCCTAAACCCTAAACCCTAAACCCTAAACCCTAAAAGTGTACGAGGGCATCCATCTATAACGTAAATTATTCTCTTCTGTTTTCTGTTGCTGCATGCACTGCTCAGCGCTATTTGGGGCTGCATGCGTACACTGCATGCATACACTGCATGCATGCATGCATACACTGCATGCATGCATGCACACACTGCATGCATGCACTGCATGCATGCATGCATACACTGCATACATACACTGCGTGCATGCATACACTGCATGCATGCATACACTGCATGCATACACTGCATCAATACATACACTGCATGCATGCATGCATGCATGCATACACTGCACGCATACACTGCATGCATGCATGCATGCATGCATGCAGCCCCAAAGAAGTGTTGAGTGTTGGTGTGTACATACCGACGACGCCCGCGAATGTGGTTTGTAAGAGAAGAGAAGCGACGGTGGTTTTATTATAATAAATACAAGCGGGGTAGATAGGTGTTGTTTTATATTTATTTTTTTGTTGTTTATATAAATATAAACCCTTTAATATAGAACAAAGAAATAAAAAGATAGATAAACAAATAAACAATAACCAGTATAAGGAACCGCAGTAAGGCACCTGAATACAACACAAATTTATTTACTTTTTTATTTTTTTATTTTTTATTTTTTTATTTTTTTTTGTTTATGAGAAATAAAATAAAATAAAATAAAATAAAACAAAATAAAACAAAACGAAATAAAATAAAAAAGTAAAAAAGAAATAAAAAAGAAAAAAAACAAAACAAAATAAAACAAAACAAAACAAAACAAAACAAAAACAAAATAGAGTGAAGTAAAAACGAAAATAAAAAAATAAAAAATAAAAAAAAACTTACGAGCTGTATTGGGGAGTCTCTTCCGCCTTGTATTAAACACAAAGGGCAGACAAACAACAAAAAAACAAAAAAAAACAAAACGAGAAAATAAAATAAAATAAAATAAAATAAAATAAAACAAAATAAACA